CAGATCTCGACTGACCAATTGTTTTCTTTTGTTTCTTCAAAGGGATTTTGATTATTCACCACTGTATTTGTGGATGATGTTGGTGAATAGTGGGGAACGAAATCATGGGATCAACATGAAGCAAATTCGATCATGTAGTGGCATGAGAGAGGCAGTTACCCTTCAGACACCAACCGTCTCTCTCGCCGGAGCCTCTTCCATTTTTTCCGAGCATATTTCCCCGTTTGAGAAGTTCCGACTGTGCTTGGATTTATAGTAAAAGAAGCCTGTTTGCCCTTTCCCCAATATTATTTGAGTTAAATGCATGAAATAGTAACATACTTTTATAAATTTTTTTATTATAACATTTTATTTTTGTTTTTTTTATTATAATAATATATTTTTAAATTATTTTTTATTAAAACATTATATTTTTAAAAATCTACTCATAATAACAATAGGTAACCTATTACCTTTTAAACCGGTTAACCCTTTAACTTTTTTGCTTGTGTGACTTTAATGAGATGATGTGGATGCCACATCATTTTGATAACTTAATTAAAATTAAAATAAAAACCTATTTCAAATTATTATTATTGATTTTTATTTTTATTGCTATAATCTAAAAAAACATTTAATTTTTTTTACTTTTTCTTATTAAGTTGTATTCAAATTAAATATTTTTAGTGTAAAATATTTATTAAATAAATACGAAACATTATTTTCGAGATATATTTTGTTTGTTAAAAAGGTAACTTTTTTTATTTTATGTTGTTCAAATAAATACATATATTTTAATGTTCTTTTTAAAATATTAACGAAATAAATTGTTATCTACAATTTTTTAATATTCTTATATTAATAAATAATTCAAAAAAGTCTAATTAATTTAATATATTTATACGTCAAGAAAAAGTTTTTGAACAAATATAATATATTCTACAATTTTTTAATATTCTTATATTAATAAATAATTCAAAAAAATCTAATTAATTTAATATATTTATACGTCAAGAAAAAGTTTTTGAACNAATAAATAATTCAAAAAAGTCTAATTAATTTAATATATTTATACGTCAAGTAAAAAGTTTTTGAACAAATATAATATATTCTTTAAAAGATAATATTTTTTAGTAAAAAAAAGAACAATTTTTATTTTCCTTTTTTCTAAAAACTCATTTTTTTTAAAATGTTAACGATATAAGTTGTGTTCTACTAGTTTTATTGATATTGGTATATTAATGAATAATTTAGAATTTTTTTTAATTCATTTAATACATTTATTAAATAACATGTAAAATATCTAAATATTAAAATTAAAAATACAGTGTTTAATAAGAACTAGTAAATGCTATAATAAAATAATTTTAAAAATACAATAATGTAGTAAGAAAGTCACACCATTATAGTACATGTGGACAGCCTACATGGACAATGAGGTGGCATGAAAACCTAGTATAATGGGTAAGTTTAAATCAAAAGGTTACCAATGCTATAATGGGTAAATTTTTCAAAGTACAATGTCCTAATAAAAAATAGTTTAAAAGTACATTGTTGTAATAAGAAAAACTGAAATTACAATGCTATAATAAATTTTTTTATGAAAGTAGATTGTTATTTTATGCATTTTGCCCATATTATTTTGCTATTTTACCTTCATGGGCTCTTCAAACCCAATAATGGGGCATGGGCTGCCTGGGACATGAACTCGATTCAAATTGAATAAAATCCATAAAGTGAGTATTAGGCTTATATGAAGTATTCTAAAATTTACGCCCCAGCCATAATATAAGTTGTTTATTTACCTCTTAATAGTTCAATCAGTTGTCTATCCATGCAAAACATCGAGTTACATCTCAATCACTAGGTCGACAACTCGAACCTGTAATCTTGCTTCATGTTATGCTCTATTCTCTATTCCACTCGACTTCATTTTATGTATAAATTATATGGTTTTTAATTGAGTCGTTTGGTATATAGATATATAGAAAAAACACCAACAATAAGGTGTATATAGCAAAGACCAAGAATTTTACCCGATAAGAGCGAGGCAAATTATATTACCTCACTGAATGAATATAACAAAGACCAAGAATCTTATCCACTAAGAGCAAGGGAATGACAAAGAATCTTACCCGGTAAGTGAAAGCAATGACTCTAACCATAATTAGTGCTTACCAGGTAAATTGTTATATATAATGTCGTTTTTGTTTACTAAAATCTTACTCGGCAAGTAAATGATAGTATTGAATTTTGCCGATAAATACTTAACGGATAAATGTTTGGTAAACAGCCCCTAAGTTGGTAAAAAACCCCTAAGTTAGGGATTGTTTACTAAAATGTTCTATTTTGTTCTATTTTATGTGCTGCCTTTATAAAAAATGACAATTATACTCATGTCTGAATGCTACTACAAAATGTTTTATATCATATGCCACTATAAAGTTATTATTTACCAAATGTTTTTGATTATCTATACTATATTATTATAAAACATTTGACAAAACTCTTAAAAATCAGTTTTATGCATAAAATACTGTTTATTAATGCACATTACTTAAAACTTAAGATCACAAGTAAATTGTACATAATTACAACTTATTAAAACTCCATATATGAATTCGTGTAACTAACTACACAAAAACATAATCAAATACAGGATAAACATTGAATATAAAAAATCTAAAATATAATTAAAATAATTATTGAATTCTAACATAATACTTATTATTATTTTTATAAAATACTATAATATTAAACCAAAAATAAATTATTTCATTATTAAACTTATATTAAATTATAATAAAAAAAATATATATGAAATTACATTAAAAAAATGAAAAGTTTCAAATAATTGATTTGATATTAAATATTTTTATGATAACATCAAATTTATATTTTATTCAAAAATAAAATAATTGCTTTCTTAAAAACACATAAAATTATATTATAATATCGACAAAGACAAAGAACAAATTAGAACATTAAAATCGAAATTTATCATGATACATTACAAAAATACCCTTCTAAGTATTAATGAATTCCAATATGCTTTTGATCACTTAAACCAAACATAACTTTTTAAGAATTCAAAACAATTTTTATTTATCGGGTGGAGAAAGCCCTAAATCCTTGATAAACCCAACAAGCAAGTGGGTTTTTTTTTAAATTACTGGAGATTCTTGTAGATTGGTGCTCCTTCGTGGGTTGGTGATTGCAAGGGTAAACATGGGAAACTTCATCTGTGTTTTGGAAAGACACGTTTCTAACTCTTATCTCCGGACATGGTAAATGGTGAGAATTGTGTTTTTTCAATTGGTAAATGGTCACATATTTTGTTGATATTTTTCACAATGCACAAGTTAAAAGACAAGAAAGTGTAAAATAGGGTTTTGTTTAAAAAAACATAAGGCTCAGATCTGTGAACAAAAGAACAAAAAGGATGAATTCCACCATGGCTGCAAACTTGCTCGTTGATTGCCACGCCAAGATGCGGGTCATCTCTAACTTTGATCAAATCCAGTCAGATGCAAACAAATTCATCATC